ATATAGAAGATTCAGTACTATGGTGAGTTCTCTGGGTAGCAGATGGCCTGTGAGAAGGCTAGAATTTGCAGCAGAGGTGATTGTGGAGGCATTGAAGGAGAAGAAAGCTGCCAAGTTTGGTTGTGGTGGGATGACTCGACAAGATGTGAGAGATGCAGCTCGGATGCGTATTGGAGATACTGGGTTGCTGGATTATGTGCTGAAGTCAATGAACAATGTGATTGTTGGACGCTACATTGTTCGCCGTGCAGTAAATCCAGCGACTCGAATTTTGGAATATACAATTCATGAACTTGCTGATAGTTTCAGGACCAAAGAATCAGAATCAGAAGTAGTTCAAGAGCGAATTCGAGGTCCTGCTTTGGTGCCAGGAATTGATGTGTATAGCGATGTTGCTGTGCTATATACAAATCTTTTGCTGAATTATCCAGAATCAGAAACAGTGGAAATTTCAGTTCAAACAGTTCTGGACAGCAAGCACTTTGTGAAAGATTGGCCCTTCAGAGACGATAAGGAACAATCATTGATAGTGTTTTGCCAAGTGAGGCCAAGCTTGGTTGATTTAGAGCCTACAAGCGCTAAGGAATTACTGCCACGTGAATTGGTTGTGGTTCCATATTATGTCACACTGTTAGACTTAAAGAAAGATATTGCAAATGCACTAAGGGACACCTACTGTGGTATGGATAGATTTGTGGTGACAGATATAGAAAATCTGGAAGAGATGGAGGACATGCAGATGCTTTCAGGGAAAGTTGAATCTGGTGCTCAACTTGTCGTGAGAGGAAGTGGGATAGATTTGGGTTCCAAGTTTAGGTATCAAGGTGGTACTGAGAATTGGATGGTGAAGTGCGAATGTGGAGTCCAAGACGATGATGGTGAGAGGATGGTGGCTTGTGACATTTGCGAGATTTGGCAACACACACGCTGCTGTGGAATTGAGGATTCACTTCTTCCACCACTGTTTATCTGCTCAAGCTGCTGCGATTGTCTTGCAACAGAAAGAACTGAACCTCTCATTGAGCTTGGGAGTTCTAAAGATCTGATAATGGAACCTCTGACAGTATATGGATATGGGGCAGAGCTCCTACCGACACAGTGAAACGGAAACTATTGTAATAAGTGCATGCTTGGGAGCACTGATGGATAATTCTTGTTCTTTTTCCTCTTTGGAAAGCAGCAACAGATGTGTCTTTCTAACTAGCATCGCATGATATATATTGTGCAGCAAAACATATGTAGGTTTCTTTTATACTTTCTCTGAAAGCTCAAAAGATTTGCTTTTACTGTCAACTTCCTTCTGGTGAAGATTCAATTGTTTGTAGATTTCTGGTATAAAACCAAAATCACAATGATGTGCACTAATAAAACAGAAATGTCAAGCTTCTGCTTTCTTATCTAAGAATTCTGGAGACTAAACCTCAGTCACAGTAATTCTACCCTTTGAGCTACAGCCAATTTCCAGAGCTGCCCAAACCAAGTACAGAACAACTGAGGACACAAGATAATCTACGGCTATGAACACAGGCAGCACTATGCTTGAGATTTTATATCTTTTCTAAGTAAACATGAAAGTGGGATTTAGTTTATCTTCATGAAAACCAGATCAGTACAAAAAATGATGGGTAAGATGGCGTGATGAACACGAACAAAAGCCTGCATTATTTTATTGTTTTTACCACGCTTATTCTGTTCTTTATAAAAAATTCTTACTTTTGTTAGGTGTCATCACTTTAGAATGTAGTTGTTCTTCTCTTTATCCGATTTTGATGAAGAAAGAATTGAAAAGGATCTGCTTGGTTGCAACCTATAAGTAGTACTAATATAGACGCCAATTTAAAGTTCAGCAAACTGTGATATGAAAGTTAGCACAACCATCCTTCTGTTCATGCAGTTGACAGGAAGAGAATAAAAAGAGGAAGATACAGCAACTATTTCAAAATTTTCATACACACACCTAAAAGATAACTTAAGGTTCGAAATAAATCTTTCTTTTTCATCTTTTTCTTAGCAACCCATTAAAAAAGAGTGTATTTTTAAAAGTATTCCAGTTTAAGGAAAAGAAAATAAGGTCCATAGATGCACCCAATTTCTGCATGCATTTCATATGTCGCTTCCAACAATTATTCTCATTGTAAAACAATATAGCATCAGCATGGCTAGAAATAATAAACCACAGACAACTTAGAGAACAGAATAAGCCACAAAATACCCAGCACAAAATTCCAGTTAGTTAAAAACCCCAACACAAAACCCCTTCTCTCCTCCTCTCTCTTCGTGAATCGAATTCAACAATTACGCCATTGGAGGAGAAAGGAAAAGCTCCAGTACTTTGCCTTCAACAATGTCGATTCCTATTTTTGAAACTTGTAGGAAGGAAAAGAGGAGGCCGAAGATATTTGGGTTTCACAAGTTTTTAGGACTCGGGTACCCAATGAGCCTCACGGGTTTTCTTTCCGGAACGATGTGCGGATTTTCTTTGAGAAATGTGCTGAGCTTCAAAATTACTACGTACAAGGAATATCCGTCTGGTGTACTCGTCTTGTTCACAAGACCAAGAACGTGGTTATTCCTCTGTACACGGTCGTCGAGAAAGTTAGCGGGTCCAAGAACCCTCGCTGCGGTCACTGCAGATTCAGTGGTTAGATTTTGAAAATCCAGATACCCTTTTTCATTTTAATGCATGGCTTGATTTTCTCCGACGGGTTTGGAAAACATTGTCAAAGCTAAAGGAAGCTATTGAAATGCTGATACAAGTTTATCAACTTCCAAAGAAGTCAGAATTTCAGTTGCTGTCCTGTAATTGTGTTGTGTCATCCCCCCCATAACTTCCACGGAAGAACTTATAACCCCACCTCCCAAACCATGAATGCCCATAAGCAATTCCATGAAGTAGCCGAAGATCCATACACCGCTTTCTTTGACAAATCCTCAACAGTGATTTTTCTGCACAAAAATGAAATAGACGCGTCAAAGAAAATCATCATCCTTCAAGTTAAATATGCCTAGAACTTGATCAATGATATGATCACTCAGGATTTTTCATTACCGGGGGGTCGAAGGATATTTTCGCAAATACTATCCCAAAGATCCATGATTTTTCCGCCAGAAGCAAATTGGGATCCTCCTTCAATCCCGTTTATGCAGATTAGAGGACCAAATCCGTTACAGTGGATCACTACATGCGAGAGGTGTGTGCGGAGACCTAAAGCAGCAATCTCAAGACGCAAGTTCCATTCAGTATCAGAAGGAATTATCAGATGGTACTTCCGTTTAGACAATAATTGCTCACTCCAATTTTTAAAAAGATACAAAAACCAAAATCAGCAAAAAAAAAAAAAAAAAAAAAACGAAAATGGAAAATTCCCAATACAAAAAAATAACACTAGATACCAAATCCCTAACTAAAAACAAGAAAGACCCATCTGAGAAAATCAAGTCATGCATTAAAATGAAAAAGGGTATCTGGATTTTCAAAATCTAACCACCGAATGAATCTGCAGTAATCGCAACAGGGGTTCTTCGAACACTCGACTTTCTCTACGACCGCGTACAGAGGAACAACAAAGTAATTTTGAAGCGCAGCACATTACTCAAGGAAAATGCGGACATTCCTGCGAAAAGGACACGTGAGGCTTATTGGGGGGGGGGAGGAACCCGGGTTCTGCAAAGTTGTGAAACCCGATTATCTTCGGCGTCCTCTTTTTCTTCTTACAAGTTTAAAAAATAGGGATCGACATTGTTGAAGGCAAAAGGCCGGAGTTTGTTCTCTTCATGAAGCAAAAGAGAGAGAGAGAGAGAGAGAGGAGGGAGGGTTTTGTGCTAGGGTTTTTAAGTAAAACTGGAGTTTGTTTAGTGTTAGAATGCCCCTATTATAGAATATAATTACGGTTTTACCAAACATGTGATGGCGTTACTCCTTTAAGGGCATTATTGTCATTCTACTTTCCCACAAAGTTAATTTCTCCGTTCGATTTCTTTAACGGAAACAGGAAATAGCTTTGGGGAAGCGTCATATTCCCCTAAAATAATATTGGGCTAAGGAAGTGGTATGAGTTGTGAATCCAAGCCCAAAAGAATTTGTGTTTAGAAGTCCAAATATTCTCTAAAAATTAACAGTAAAATAATTTTAAAAGAAACAACAAAATATTAAATTGTGAAGAAGAAAACCACAATTTTCAAATCAAATCAAATTAGATTTAAGATATGCTAATTATTATTATTATGTACAGCTACATATATATATATATAAGTAATAAATTCAGTCTGGTTAAATTTTTCAAAATTTTGAAATGCTCGGTTGATTTATAAACAATCTAAATTGCAGTGGAGCTTGAGCTGAGAAGAGCCAAGAGAAGGCAAAATATAGGGTGTCTGCATTTAATGCAATCTTCTCTATGAATTACCCTCCAAGCCCTCTCAGACCCTGGAGAACATCAACGTTGACAGACCAAAAAACATTCATACAATTTGAATCTTTGAAATCCAATACATAAATACATACATATACACACACACACACACATACTTATTAAGACCAGCCATAACATCCCGTGAGGCCAAGAACACTTAACACCAAGCTCTCCAGCTCCCTTCCAACAAAACCCTACTTCTGTAATCTGCCACAACACAAAGGATCCTCGTGATGGAGAGCTCTTCTTCTTCACGAGTTTTCTATCCTCACTTTCCTTCTCTCTTTTCAATTCTCTCCTTCAAATACCCCCCCCAACATTCCTCTGCTTCCTACTTCAACAACTCTCAAGCTTCACCATGGAACCCAGAACATTCCTTCTCTTTTCAACCCTCTTCTTCTCTTTCGTTTCTCTCCATGCAAAAGACTATCTTCAAACCTACATTGTTCAGCTACACCCGCATGGTGTAACAAGCTCTCTGTTTACTGCCAAGGAAAATTGGCATCTTTCGTTTCTCGAGCAGGTTGTTTCCTACGACGAATACCCTTCTTCTCGCCTCCTCTACTCTTACCATTCTGCCATGGAAGGTTTTGCAGCTCAGCTCACTGAATCAGAGCTCCAGTTGTTGTCTAATTTGCCCGATGTTATTGCGGTTAGACCAGACCGGCTGCTCCAACTTCACACCACGTACTCTTACAAGTTCTTGGGACTTAGCCCCAAAAGAGAAAATACCTGGTACAAGTCTGGATACGGTCGTGGAGCCATAATTGGTGTGCTTGACACTGGAGTCTGGCCAGAGAGTCCGAGTTTCGATGATAGCAGAATGCCTCCTGTTCCCAAGAAATGGAGAGGAATTTGCCAAGAAGGGCAGAGCTTCAACTCCTCTAACTGTAACAAAAAGCTGATAGGTGCCAGGTTCTTTACCAGAGGCCACCGTGTTGCTTCACAATCACCAATGCCGAATGCCATTAACGAATATGTATCGCCAAGAGATTCTTATGGACATGGGACTCATACATCATCAACAGCTGCTGGAACTTCAGTTCCAATGGCAAGTGTGTTAGGTAATGGAGCTGGTGTGGCCAGAGGTATGGCACCTGGGGCCCATATTGCCATCTACAAAGTTTGCTGGTTCAATGGTTGTTACAGCTCTGACATTCTAGCTGCAATGGATGTTGCAATCATTGATGGAGTTGACGTCCTCTCCCTCTCTCTTGGAGGCTTTCCGGTACCTCTTTATGACGACAGCATTGCAATCGGGAGCTTTCGAGCAATGGAGCATGGAATTTCAGTTATCTGTTCTGCAGGAAACAATGGTCCACTTCAAAGCTCAGTTGCCAATGAGGCTCCTTGGATTGCTACTGTTGGCGCCAGCACTCTTGACAGGAGATTCCCAGCTATAGTTCGAATGGGCAATGGAGAAATTCTGTATGGAGAATCCATGTATCCGGGGAAGTTTATGAGAAGTGCTGGACGAGAGCTCGAACTAATTTACGTGACAGGAGGAAACAGGGGAAGTGAATTCTGCTTCAAACAATCTCTTCCAAGATCAAAAGTGCGTGGCAAGATGGTTGTTTGTGATAGAGGTGTCAATGGAAGAGCAGAGAAAGGTCAGGTTGTGAAGGATGCTGGAGGTGCTGCAATGATTCTAGCCAATACAGAGATAAACCTGGAAGAAGATTCTGTTGATGTCCATGTCTTGCCAGCTACATTAGTTGGCTTTGAAGAATCTGTTCGTCTGAAGGCTTACATAAACTCCACAACAAAACCCACTGCTCGGATAGAGTTCGGAGGCACCATAATAGGGAGATCGAGAGCACCGGCAGTAGCTCAGTTTTCAGCTAGAGGACCCAGTTTAACTAACCCATCGATCCTAAAACCAGATGTGATCGCTCCGGGGGTCAACATTATTGCTGCCTGGCCTCAAAATTTGGGCCCGACTGGTCTTCCAGAAGATTCTAGAAGAGTGAACTTCACTGTCATGTCAGGAACTTCCATGGCTTGTCCTCATGCCAGTGGCATTGCTGCTCTAGTCCATGCAGCTAACCCCAAATGGACACCAGCAGCTATTAAATCGGCAATAATGACAACTGCAGATGCATATGACCATTTTGGAAAACCAATCATGGATGTGAATAAGCCGGCTGGAGTTTTTGCAGTTGGAGCCGGCCATGTAAACCCTCAGAGAGCCATAAATCCAGGGCTGGTGTATGATATCAGACCAGATGAGTATGTCATTCATCTTTGCACCCTTGGATACACAAGATCAGAGATCCTCACAATCACACATAAGAACTTAAGTTGCCATGAGATTTTGCGGATGAACCGAGGTTTCAGCCTCAATTATCCATCCATCTCTGTAATCTTCAAGCGTGGAAGAACAAGTGCAGTAATTAAAAGGCGACTGACGAATGTGGGGAGTCCTAATTCATATACTCGGTGGAAGTAGTGGCTCCTGAGGGAGTCAAAGTGAGGGTTAGACCTCAAAGGCTGATATTCAATCATATAAATCAAAGCCAGAGTTACAAGATATTGCTTATGTCAAGGAAGGGATTTGGAAACGATAGGATCAGCTTCGGACAAGGACAATTGACATGGGTGCACTCCCACAATAGTCTTTACAGGGTTAGAAGTCCCATATCGGTGACTTGGAAGTCCAGTAATAGGAACTAGGTTTCCTAGTGCAATAATTCAGTCCATTTTCATCAAAAGGAGGTAGAATTTTTATTTTGAGTTTTTAAAGGTAAAAACTCAAGACAGATTGCCGAAATAAAATCTGCCTGTTTCCCACCAATCATTTGTTTTCAATTCAGAAATCCAGAAAAAGAAAATTTGGATAACGCCTAAGTAGAAACATCAGAAGGAGGTCCACAACCCACAAAAAAAAAAAAAAAGAGAAATATCTCCAAGGAGACATGTTGAGCATGATTGCCTCAGGTCTGCAATCAAGGCTCAGATACTTCATTTCCCATATCTTGGCTCAGATATCGTACTAAGAAAGAATAAATACCGTACTAAGAAGAGTTTCCTATTCTATATCTTGGCTCAGATACTTCATTTTCCATACATGTGACAAACAGGAAAAATTATTAGTATTTCAATGATAACATCAGCCTAGTAAAAGAAAGAACGCTGAGCACAAACAATAAAAAAATTCATTGCCAAGTAGGAAATATGGTATTTGTATCAAACTCTACATATGAAACAGCAGGCATATGAAGTTTTGCTTGACTAAATTATACAAAAACCATTGAGGTTATGGATGAGAGTGGCTGATAAAAACAAAAGGATATCAATTGCCTCATTTTTTAACGAATTGCAAGCCATTCTCGTTAGAGTATCGCTCCATAAATCTCATGAATCTGTCCCACTCACGGAGAGACCGCATTACGTACCTTGCTTCAATTCCAGCAGGCTTTCCATTAACAAATTTGGCACTTACATCAACTGATTGTAAAACCCCTTCCTCATCAATCATGTAAAAACCAGTGATCTCACCGACTTCTCCAGTTGAATCGAAAACAGAAGGTTGGTCAAACTTGAATGTGGCTACACCATTTGTACCATCTCGGGACTTCGTTAGGCGCACATCTGGTATGGTCTGCTCATCGGTTCCTTGAATGAATTGAATCTTCGGTTTGACCATCATGATAACTGGCCCGGGCCTAGAAGATTTCTGTCGTATCGGGGCCACCAGTGAACGAGACAGGTGCAAGGATTGGCCATTGAAAGAGGAGCGCATACATCTGTGAACATCCCAAGATACAGGGGCTGCAAAAGGAAGAGTAGGGGTCAAGCTTTGACAATCACAACAACAACAGCATGGAGAGCTTGATGAATGACAGAAACTGCATCATAAGTCCACAAAAATTTTCTATGAAGTAATTGATTGAACTGATTATCCTCCTAAAAACTTTAAAACTTACAGTAATTGAAATGCCATTTTTGTTTGACTTAAGCTAACAAAATAATGTTTATGGCTAATGAGAGCAGAGGGTGTTGCAGCAAGCTCGTATTGATGCTTTTGGTATCCTACAATGGCTTTCCTTGTGATTTAGGAAATGTAACTTGAGAGGAAATAAACTGAACATGCAATCCAAATTTCACCTATGCCAAATCTATCTTTCCCAAACACCATGAAATTTGAAAAACTGTTCACGGTGACCAAGCAGAAACAAATACCAAATTCTGCCATCAGCACATAATTGTTAAGAAGAGAGCGAACCTCCTCAAAAAGCGGGAGCTAAAATCCCAGACAGAAGAACATAAAGTAGCATCCTACTAGTTGAACTGACAGGAAATAAGAATGGTAGGCTGAGAAGAAGAGAATTAAGTGGAGAGAAGACAAGAGGAGGAATAGCAAGCAGTACCTGAGCATGATTTGCGCGAGTAATGTGAGACTGGAGACATAAATGCAAGGGACTGAAGAGTAGCCATTGCTTGAGCAGACTTGAGAGAGAGAGAGAGAGAGAGAGAGAGAGAGTAAAAAAGGAAGGGAGTTTTTAAGGAGGAGATTTTGGGTGGTGGTGAGAAGGTGGCTTGCTGTAACAACTTCAACCATTCACTTGGAGAAGAAGATGGGCTTTTTCTGTGAAACTCAAAACTTCCCCACTTCATTCTTCGGCCTCATCCCTTCCATTCCGCAACCCATTTACTAAACTAAAAGTAATTATTTGTTTAATTATTATCTATTAATTTGTTAATAAATAATGAAAATAAAGAGTGGGGTCCACGTGTTTCGAACAAAGTAAATTGGATTCTAGAGACAGCGTGGAAAATATTTATTTCTTTTTATTTAAATTTGACATTTTGAATATTGACGTGGGCGGGCAGTAGGTAAAACATTTCGGCCACAAAAAAGAACGTTCATTATTCGCGCCCATACCATCCATAATGGACCACCCCTTTGGCCCTTTTCTTCTTCAATATTATTTTATTATTTACACTAATTAAATGTCGTGTACATTTCTACTCTCAAAATTTAATTACATATACAAATATTTGGTAATGTTCGAAGCTATCGAGCATTGTATGTGACTCTTTCGTAATACATCATTTTTAAATAATTAACATTATAGTTTGAAACTCAAAAAATTAAATGTGTGGGGATTAAAATTTACCCCAATATGAAATTGGTACCATCCATTATCATGCCGCCTCGATGAGAGCAATAAATTTTGTACAATCATTCATTACGTACTACGCCACATACACGCTTTCAATATCGCCATCTATCATTTATTTAAATTTTAAAAAAAATTAAAAAAAAAAACACCTCGTATAATCCACCAGCTTACGTGTCATCCCCTCTCTCCTACGTGTCACAAAAGTACAACGTGGCACATGCCCCCCCCTCCTCTTCTCCTTCTTCTCACCAAAAAAAAAAAAAAAAGAAAAGAATAATAAAAACGCAAATGAGCAGAGCAGAGAGACACGCCAAGACCACATCAAATTCCTCGGCGACCTCCTCCTTGACCGCCGGCTCCCATTTTCTCTCTCTTCCTTTTTTTTTATTTTTTTATTTCTCTGCAAAAATTTCATTTCAGATTTATTTAGAGGAGGAAGAAAAAGAAAAAGCAAAGCGTAAACCACAATCCAATTCGCCAACTGTTTCCCTCTTTCTCTCCATTACTTAATCCGATTCTCCAAAAATTATACGACTTCTTCTATTTCCAGATCATCGACGCCTTCTGTGAATTCTCGGTTAAGGATCCTCGGAGACGGAAACGACGTCGTTTGGGGGCAGGAGGAGGGACGACAGATGGGGACGGTAAGAGGAGTTGAGGAAGGAGGAATAGCCAGGAAACTGTGGATCAAGTTCAAGAGCCACTCCGTTTTTGCTAAGTACACTCCGTTCTTCGTTTGCTTGGCTTCTGGTCATCTCAACTCCGATACCTTCCTCCATTTCATATCTCAAGATATTCCCTTTCTTGATGCCTTCTTCCGCGCGTGAGCTCACTCTTCTAATCTAACAAACCTACCCCCATCCATTTTTCACTTTTTCATACACGCACATATTCCAGTATCTATACATGTCCATGTGTGCGTATACATAAATGTATATACAGATTTATAGATTTTTTAAAAAAAAATTTGTAGGTACGAGTTGGCGGAGGAATGTGCAGACGATGAAGACGATAAGAGTGCAATACGCGAATTAAGGAAACGTGTCGAAGACAGGCTTAAGAAGCAAGATACCTTTGTCCGTGTAAGCTTGATGATTATTATTGTTATTATTTCTTTTTTCGTTTCCTCCTTATTTGCTTAATTGCTTATATCTCTATAAATAGTAATTTGACTTGGCATTGTTCTATTTTCTCCCTTTTTGGGGGCATACTCTGTTGATTACAAGCCGTGTCTGCTACTTTTTTCCCTTTTAAAAAGAATGCTTTTTCTTAGTACAATCTTCAGTTCAATAATTTCGCTTAAATATTCTCCAAAAAAAGAAAAGATATAATTATCATGTGTACTTGGACCTACAGTCTTGAGATGGGTTTGTGTCGGTTTTAATGATTTGTAGTATTAGGTCGAAGGGACATTATTAGTTTTATCTTGGTATAGGTTTTATAATTACCTAACAAAAGTAGTTTTATAATTTTGTATGTAATTTTTTGTATCGTGTATAATCTATTGTTTGGGAGCTTAGAAAACATAACCATGTTCCACCGGGTTTGTTTAGAATTCTGTCTATCGTTATCTTGGTTGATACTCTTAGATTAGTAATGTTTCTCCCCAGAGGAAGAATTCCGTATTTGATATGAATATTAAGCCTGAGACATGCAGTCAACATGTTGCTTAGTTGCAGACTTTGTTGGTTTAAATCAATAGATAAATGAGGATTTTCACTTTGTAGTTTGGTGATGCTGAGAAAGACTTTATCAATATGTCAGTAGTGGTAAATGTTAGGTTGTTTATCCATCCTTGATCTTTGGCTGCTACAGTATGGTTACTGAGGTCCCTGTATTTGTTTCCTTTTCACATGATTATGTTCACTTCTTTTCATTTTACCTTGCCCATTTGTTGGTAGTTGCTTTCATTGAATATCCTAAATCAATCTCTCCACAGCAATGGGGCTTTGAACCCCTAAAAGAGTGCCCGTTCAGCAATTTAAGGGTTAAATTCACAGATTTCCTGATGGCAACAGCTGCGGGTAAAGTTGAAGGAGAAAAAGTTCCTGGTAAAATTGCAACTCCTTTTGAGAAGACAAAGGTTGCTGCTTATACACTTGGCGCTATTTCACCTTGCATGAGGCTCTTCTCCTTTATAAGTAAAGAGATCCAGGCTATTCTTGATCCCAGTGAAGGCAGTCACGTTTACAAGAAGTGGATTGACACTTACTGCTCAGAGGAGTTTGAGGTTCATTAGATTATCAAGCACTAAACTTGTCCACATCATATTTTGTTGACACCTTGCTGATCAAGCAAGAATTCTTGTTTCAGTTGTTGGGGAACGTTTTTCTTGGTGGTCAACCTTATATTTCTGTTTTCAGGAAGCAGCTTCACAAACTGAAGATTTGGTGGATAGACTGAGTATCTCTCTAACAGGAGAAGAACTTGAAGTCATAGAAAAGCTCTACCATCAAGCCTTGAAACTTGAGGTAGACTTTTTCTCTGCTCAACCAGTGGTTCAGAAAACAATAGTCCCTTTATCCTCGGTGCAAGTTCCTATAGAGGACCGTCTTACCATATTTTGTGACTTTGACTTAGCGTGCACCACTGTTGATTCCTCTGCCTTTCTAGCTGAGATAGCAATTGTAACAGCTACAAAGATTGATGCTGCTGATGGATCAGAAACCCGATTGTCTCGGATGTCATCAGCTGAACTGAGGAGTACATGGGGTGTTATTTCCAACCAATACACTGACGAGTATGAAAGTTGCATAGAGAGTGTCGTCAGTGGTGAGACAGGTATGGTTAATCATAGGTGGGTTGCTTCTTGATTTGTGTGCTTTTTGTAATAAAAGATGGTGAGCCAAGACTTCTAATGCTTTTGGGAACAATTGGAAATTTTGTAGAAACTTCTACTCAAGTGATGACCCCTGTTTTTGCAGTGGCAGAATTTAACTATGAAAGTCTGCATAAAGCCCTTGAACAACTTGCTGACTTTGAGAAGAATGCAAATTTAAGAGTGGTGCAATCAGGAGTATTGAAAGGTTTGTGTATGGAGGATATAAGGCGGGCTGGACAAAGTCTAGTACTTCAAGATGGTTGTAGAGGTTTCTTTGAAAAGATTGTGAAAAGTGAAAATTTTGTTACTGATGTTCATGTACTTTCTTACTGTTGGTGTGGCGATCTGATTAGATCTGCTTTTTCTTCAGGTACTTCTATAGACTTTTTTATGCATACACATACTCAAAACATATATTTCGTTCACTCAAGTTTGTATCTTTTGTTCTGTGTGTCTAAGCAATTAAGACATGTCACTTACAACATCTTTTGATCTATTTTAGATAGTAAATAATGATACACTAAAGCCTAAATGTCTAGTTTATTATTTTTTTAATTTACTTATTTATTTTTTTCTCAATTTATTTAGGATCCTCTTTTTTGCTTTTGCGCATAATCTGTATGTTTACATGGAAGAAGAGAATTTACTTATGAAGCTTCAAAAAAGAAACATTCCATTTCTTTCATCATTTTAGGAAATGAATGGACAGGCTGCAATCAGATAAAGCACCAATACTCTAGATTTCTGGTTAAAGTTTATTTAATAATTTTCAAGTACTTTTAAACTCTGAGAAAGATTTTTTGGATATTGTTTCCTTTGATCAAATGGTTTTCAAGATAGATTTATGAAGTTACAAATTTGGTGAGTTATGTAAGTTACAAATTTGTTGAGGTCTAACAATTATTAGAAGCGAACTAGTTAGTTAATCTTGTCCTTTGAATTTTTAGAAACTTGAGTTCTAACTGCTACTCAAAGTCTCTTCCTCTTTTATTTGCCCTGTCTGGCAAAGTTTTGTTGGTCAAGGTTTCTTCTTCTATTTGTTGTAGCAGGCAATAGGCATGACAAAAGGTTTGTTCTGAGTGGACTATTTCTTCTCCTTCTAGGCAGGCTGCGGAGTTTACATAACTTTATTTTTCTAATGCTTATTTTTACCAGATTCTTAACTGTGTTAGTCAGGGGAATACTGGTTTTAGTGCTTAGCATTAATGTTAAAATCAGGAGTTTTGTTTCATTTATTCAGCAGAGAAGTTAGATAGGTTGCTTAATTGCTTCCATTACTTCCGATGGTTGAGAGCATTCATTCAGAATAGTAGTAGTTGGAAAAGTTGTTACCAGCAGGGTCCAGTCCCGCATGCATCTGTAAAGCTTTTACCAAGCGTATGTTTCCCTTTCTTCTTTTGGGTGTGCTGAGAATTTTTTCTCCTCCGTTTCTTTTGAGCAGGGGATTTAAACGTCTTAAAAGTACATTCAAACGAGTTAGCATATCAGGAGTCCATCTCTACGGGTGAGATTGTTAAGAAGGTAGAGTCTCCCATGGAAAAGCTCCAAGCCTTCAATAACATTGTGAAGGACAGCCATAGTAGGGACAAGTGCTTGACAATTTACATTGGAGGTTCAGTGGGTGACTTACTTTGCCTGCTTGAAGCTGATATTGGCATTGTGATTGGCTCAAGCTCAAGCCTGAGGAGGCTGGGAGGTTGCTTTGGTATCTCTTTCGTTCCATTGTTCTCTGGTTTGGTCGAAAAACAGAGAGAAATCTGTGAAGGTAGGTTTTCTGGTTGGAAAGGGCGAAGTGGTATTTTGTATACAGTATCTAGCTGGGCTGAGATACATGCATTCCTTTTGGGTTCATAATATACAACCTTTCTCTGGTATATTGTGCTGTTGTTAGAACAAGCAAAAATGGGAGTTCATTTCCAGTAGGATATATATATATATAGAATACAAAATCGAATTTGGTGGCTTATTTTATTAAAAGGCCACAGGTATCCCCTTATTCCATTTTTCCTCTAGGGACTGCCATTAAGAAATACAGGGTTCTTAAAATCAATGTTGGAATAGTCGGTCAAAATTTTTTGTTATCCTTTTTACATTTATTGTCAACCCCCGAGGTTTGCTTTGACGCTTCATGCTGTCATAAACTCTCAGCTGATTAGATTTATGCTGTTACTTTTTGTTGGTGAGGAAAAAAGATGTATAGAGATGTATACAAGACTAGTTCTATGGTTTTGGTCACATTCTGGACAGTATCTGGAATCTTATACGGATGGCCAATCCGAAAAAAAGTTGTTCGAAACTGTTAAATAAATTTACATAATGTTTAGTTAATTTGAATTTTTGTTATTTAAGAAGTTGATAAATCTTGAATGTTGAATTTCATTTATACGGATTTATCTATCAGATAGGGAGAAGACAAGTATTGAATCTAATTTATAAGGAATTCGTAACTATTTTTTTTTCGTTGCAATTTGATTATTTGAAGATTATTGTTATTATTTTTCCTTGCTCTGAGTTTATTCTTATTTTTCTTCTTTTTCTTTCTCATGAACATCCTGACTTATCTTTACTAAGGTTTCATCATCGGTTTAAACTTTTTTTTACTGGTAAATTTAATACAGAGTCCATGTTATATAAGCTTTGAAAGCAGAGTTCTTGTATGTTCTTGTAAACATTAAAAAAAAAAAAAAATGTATATTTA